CTTTGCAAGTGGGAAAACCTGAAAAATCAACAGTGTATCAAATACTTGTTCTCCCCACTGTATGTATATGAAGTTTCATCAAATAATCTTTAGCAGATCAGGTTATGGGTGGGAAAAAATAAAGTTTATGGACGTACACACACATAGACTACACAATATTACAGCTGCCTTTCAACGGGGGTGTAGCAGTAGTAGTAATAATAATAATAATAATAATAAAATCCAAATAAGAATTTCAAGAGCAACTAAAACTTCCACGTAGAGTCATTGCCAAAGAAATGCAAAAGACTGTGCTGTTAGGGACCGCTCACACACTTGGACAAGTACTCGGCTGAATATCAGAGATTAAACCTGAGGGACCTGGTTGGCCCCTGGTGAATGAATCAGCAGTAAATGAAGAAATGCTGAGAAAATAATAATAATAATAAAAATAATAATAACGGGTCCCCACTATCCTTCCAGTTTTTAATAATGCGTTGGACAGTTCTTAACCCAATTTTAGTATTTTCTACAATCTCCTTAGATGTTTTCTCTGCTTGATGCCAACGATTTGACCCTTCTCAAACAGACTGGCATCTTTTCCACGACCACGCCATGTGTCTTTCAACATGGTTGTTAAAGAAAGGAGAAGCAGCTCATTGCACCAGCTGTGGTTAAATAACTTGCTGCAGCTGAAAGATAATCACCCATGCAGTAATTATCCAACAGGAGGCTCGGACCTGTTTGCTTAGTTAAATCCAGGTGGAGACTTTTTCTTTTTTGGCCAGGCAGTGTAAGTTAGTATCTTTAAACAGTACTTCATAAATATCAACCAGAATTTGCCTCTTTGGTTGCATGTAGTTATCTAAACAGTACAGTAAATGTACATGATACATATCATTTCAGCAAAGATGAAATATATAAAATAAGAACCTGAAAAAAAACCAGGAAAAGTTTAATTATCATTAAAGATATTAAGATTCACCCTTTTCATCTGTGGCATGTGTTTACCTGTACTGCTCTTGAGTGTCTCGCAGTAGTTTTTTCAGCTCCTCTATCCTCTCAGTTGTCAACCTACGAACGATGACATCTTCTATTGTCTCCACCACCTCGCCCTTCTCACCACGTTTTCGCCTGGAACAATACGAAAGTTACATTATCACAGCAGCAAAGTTCAGAGTTTTCCACTAGAATACTTATTTGTTGTAGTACTGACTTAGGTGCTTCTGTCGCTTCGAGCAGTTCAGAATATTGTGAGGCACAGTGCTGGAAGAGAGAAAAATGTTATCCTTAGACAAACAAAAGAGAATACATTTCAAAGCAGCATATCTGACTTTTTAAACTGTGAGACTAAAGTCATTTATAGATTTCTGTTTTGGTTCGAGTCTTTCACCTTCTGGGAGAACCAGTCAGGTGGACGTCCAGACTCTGAGAACGGCTTGATAGCCCTGCTCACAGACACCCTGGAAGAAGAAGAAACTCCATATAAATATGGTAAAACCAGGACAAGTTGAAAGTAAATGTGTAGAAATAGTAGCACTTTTATAGAGCATCCTAAATTTATTCCAAAAATGGATTGTATATTGTTCCTAGGAAATCATTTGAGGATATACTTGAACATCCTGATACATGCTCAATATTCCAGGTAGAAAAATCTAAAAAAGTTAAGTCAGGTCCTCTGGATGTTCAAAAAACAAAACGTCCATCCATCCATTATCTTTATACCCGCTTCTCCCATTTTGGGTCACGGGTTTTGCCGGTCAAAACAAAACAAACAAACATATATTATTTTTGTTTGTTTTTCTTGTCTTTTGAACGTCCAGAGGACCTGACTTAACTTTTTTTTAGATATACTTGAACAATTCATGGAAAGTCAACCAAATGGGAGCATATCAGCTCAAATTAGGTTGATTCAGTGCATTAGTTTCAGTGATGTATGACAATGGACAAAACAGCTTAGTTTATTTGGAGCGAGTGTTTGCTTTACCAGTTCTGGTCTCCACTCCTCAGCACAGATGAGGCCAGGCACAGTTTCTCTCTGACCGACCAGGGCTCTGTGGGTCCCACATTTAAAATCTTGTGTTCTGTTGGGGTGGGGGGGGGGGGGGGGATGCAAAGAACTTATTACATGCCTTATTATCTTTGGCCAGTACTGGGTTACCATTGACTAAATGTTTTATTTTAGGAGGCAAACAGTCATCAAGTAGCCCCAGAACCTAAATGGTAAATGGGCAGTATTAGTACCTTTCTATCTTTTCAAGATGCTCAAAGCTCTTTACAACACAATCTGTGTCTCATCCACACAGCACTCTACTATAGCTTTACAAAGACTAGTCAGAGCTTTAGATCACATTCAAATACGGATGGGACACACATCGGAGGCAATGAGGGGTTCAGTGTCTTGCCCAGGGACACTTCAACATGTGACTGCTGGTGGAATCGAACCCCCAACTCTCCCATTGGAAGAAAACTGCTCTAGCCACTCAGCCCTCGTCAATTTAAGTGTTGAACAGTTTTTCCACTGAAATTGGTTTTCACCTACAGCCACAGCTGTTCAGCTGACTTTCTTTTGTCACAAAATAAATAAAAATAAAATAAAACCTGAAATATGCAATATGCATAAAACAAAACAATTGCAATTTATTTTGTCACAACTGAATACGAGACCATCTGATCGAGCTTGATTAATGCTGGAATCTCAATTGATTTTTCCTATTGCAACAACTTTTAGACGTCCAATATTTTGTGCAATATTATTTTTTATGATGCAGAAATATTTGTCCTGTTTCAAATCTCACCATAAAAAATAAAATAAACTTCCTAAGGTTTACTATGATAATGAAAACTACAGATGTATATGGGGTTCAGTCACTACCTCAAACATTTGGAAAGAATAACCAGGTACACCCATGGCTAATCTCGCCATTTACAGCAAATATTAATATAGGCAGTATGTGTGGCTTAGAAATTGTTATTTGTAAAAAAAACATGTGTAAAACTATGTTTAAATGTTGCCTACATCTGCACACTGTGTGTGAGCCTGACAATTATCTGTACAAACAAAACCTACTATATCCTAATATTAACACTAGCCGTGCATGTTATAATCAAATGGAAAAAAAATTAAACATTTGTAATATTACTTTCAGGTACGAAAGTACATAAATATGCAAATATATACTAAATATTTGTATGAAGTGACCAGCTACCTTTCTGTTATTAGCTAACACTAGCCGTTGCTCAGAAAACGTCCATTGTAAAACAAACAAACAAACAAAAACAATAACGTTCGTTTTTATCCCTAAAGTTAAAAACAAAATATCAATAAAATATATCTTCAAATTTCCTGCAACCTATAATTCCGAAAATAAAATAAAACTGTTTAGCCACTAAATAACGAGTTAGCTTAGCGATGTCGATGGGGGAACACATTCATGAGACACACAGGTGCTAAAACTACTTGCTTGGCAGCAAGGTAGCTGCGTCTTCATAAACTAAATAAAATGTAAGGTCCTAGCTTAGTTTTACATCAGATATGTTTTTAATGATTGAATTCTAGGTTTTAAAGGGAAAGTTAAAAGTATTACTCACTGCCGATACTGCTCGCCATTGTTTTTCCGCTAACCAGATCCACGAGTGCAACTTCCGCCGGACAGTTTACAGCGATGCACGGACCCTTCTTCTTCTTGTTTTATTGGCAGTTGGTAAACAACTGAAAGAAGCATTACCGCCACCAACTGGTAAGGAGTGGGGATCACATGACAAACCCCCCCAAAAACGAGAAGGGGTTCTCTGCAGACCAAAAGTGGGCGTTTCTGGCAAATAGGCGTTTGGGCGGCGAACACTGATTGGCTGTGGGTAACCCTCAAAGTCACGAGGATTATTGATGAGGTAACGTTTCTTTGCGATGTTTGACAAAGAAATATGATTTATTGTACTTATATTGCATGTTGTTTTCACTTATGCATATTATTGAAGTAGGTTTATTGTAGGTCACGATAGTTTCGACCGTTCTCTCGTTGTTGTGCTTTAGAAGTTTAGCTCATGTGAACACATGGTGGGAGTTCCCACGCAGGTAACGCACTGAGGTAACGTGAGTCTCCACCTGCTCCAGCAGCTCTCACTGCGCACGGTTACAACAACTGGGTGGTGCTTTTCAAAAATAAAAGCTGAAAATAAAAGTTCTTAATACTTGAAAAATAAATATTTAAAAGCTGTGTATAACTGAAAAATATGAAAAATAAATAAATAAAAGTTGTTATTAGCTGAAAAAAATAAATAAAAGCTGTTAATTAAATCTATGTCTTTCTGCCATGTCAGGAACCACTCTCACTTCAGGCTGACTCTAGAAGACCCCAAGATGTTGCTCACCAATGTTGACCAACATCTGATGTTGACTTTCAAAATAAACGAAGAAGCCTGAAGTATTTCAGGCTGAGCACAGAAAGCCTTATGTCATTTGTGTCTGTGGAGAAGAATTTAAAGATTGTGGTGCAGGTTCCTGGGGCAGCGGCAGAAGAGGAGAGCTGAGGGCCTTCCACAGTGAAGCCATTCCTCCTGGGTACTGCAGCCGCTTTGTGCCATGGATGCAGGGTTAGTAGTGTAGCTTCTGTACTGTGATGCCCACACAGTACAATAAGTAACAACTAGCAACACCCTAACTGTGCAATGTTCTGTGTTTCCAACAGATGCTACGATGACTTATAAAAATGGATGTCCCAATAAACACAATAAAAAAATTCAATGATGCATCAAATGTTGTCTGAGTATGTTTGAAGGTAGTAACAAATGTGAAATCTGGAAAACAAAGAGAATTCCTGAATCTGTCTTGTGTGCTTTGATGTGTACATAAGTTTATTGGAGGTCCTGAAACAACTTTTCTGAGAACACAAAGATTTTTATTTTACCTTTGGCCAAGATGTCAGTTTGAAATCAGGCTGCTTACTGCAAAACCAAGAGGTTTTTTAAGACAGACAGTCTTCATTTGTATTGTTTTGTCGACTAAGTAATTTCTAAAATATGGATAAATCTGATCTCATCATGCAGCATAAGCAACTGGGTATAGGTGTGAGGGCCAAAAGTCTGGTTATGTACTGACTCCTAAATGTGCTTGTTTTCTACTTTTATGTTTTTTTATTTTATTTTTGCTGCTCCTTTCTTTAATGTGGGCAAATCTGAAACATTGTCACATGAACAAATGAGATAAAACTGGCTCTTTAAGTAAGTTACATCAGCTCTTTTTTTAAACTGAAGGTTTCTAAGAAACAGCGTTAAATCTACTGTCAAACACAAGAAGATTGTCTTTAGTCCTTGGGTTGTAGCTGCACCTGACACAGGTTGGCCTGAGTCTGGTCTGGGTACAATGAAATATGAAGCATCTGAAGTGAAACCTGCTCCATTTGTCCAAAAGTCTGGTCTCAATTAAAGATCACGAGTCCTGTGACAAGATAATGGCCCAAAACAAAAGCTAAAAACAAAATTTGCTCTTTAGAAGTTCTTCTATGAGATCTGATCTATGAAAGGAGCTGAAACATGGAGTAGGTTGACCTTTAAAATGTGAGACAGCTGAGGAAGTTAACCAGTAAACAGAATACCTGCTCCAGGTGCAGAAATCTGACAGAACCTGACACTCACTCATCTGCAGTGACTGCAGGTTGAACAAGAAAATGTGAAGTTAAAGGAAACATCCTTTGTCCCAAGGCCAGTTTAAGTATCATTAATATTTTTCTTTCTTTATGAATCGATTGTAACTTTGTTCACATTTTTCAACAACCAAAATGGAATTTGTTTTTTAATGTTATGGCTTGGTATTAAAAAAAAACCTAACATTTAGCTCTCCCCACTACCCAGTTATGTTGCTCTTATTTTGAAATGTAACCGGAAGTTCTGTGTTAAGACAGGCGGGAAAAGAAGTTACGGAGACGCCGCGGCAGTATACTGGAGCAATGTCGAACCGAGACGCCGCTAATGTCGAACCGGTTAACACCATAGACATAATATGTCTGTGGTTAACACAATCTGCCTATAACGTTTTGTTTTTAGACATGATGTGTCTGTGGTTACAGCATTTTATCGTTCAGCCTTTTTTTCTATCGTCCAATCAGATGTGGCCGATCAGACACGCCCATTTCTCTATCGTCCAATCAGATGCGGCCGACCAGACACGCCCATTTTTCTATCATCCAATCAGATGCGGACGGCCAGACACGCCCATTTTCCTGTAGTCCTATCAGATATGACACCCCAGATACGCCTTCCGAATTTGGCTGCAGAGATACCTACTTGGGCCAAAAACACTCAAGTAGGTATCTCTGCCATAGATATAAACACTAGATGCCTCATTGACTGCTGCGGCGCAGTATTTTTGGCCGCCATCTTGGAACGGTCGTCTTATTCAGTTAAAGCAGAAGATGTCTCAGCACTTCGCAGCTTATTTCTGTTCTAATCGACGGACTGTTGACGTCAGGTCTCGGGGGATAACTTTTCACAAGTAAGATGAACATATTATTGTTAGTATTTTGTGAATATAATATTACTGTATGATGAAGCTAACTGAGATCTGATGACAGGAATATTTTTCTAACAAACGTACTCACTATTTTAGTTCTTTGTCTCCAAGGCAGGTCTGCGGCCTTCAGCCCCTTTGGACAGGCTATATGCTAGCAGCGCCACGTTGTTGCTAGCTGCGGCTGCCTGAAAGCACATTGATGGGCTCGATTGGAGAGTGTGGTCACCGTCTGGTTCGTGTTTCTCCGGAGGGACGGGACGCTGCTCCGACCTGGACAGCTTAGCTCCGAAGCTTCCGCGAGGCTCGGCTCCAGGGGGGTTACCGAGGGATAGCCCCGCCCGGTGAACCCCTCCACTCTGGTGATGGGTGCGGACTGGGGACCGACTCCCCCAATCTACCAGGAAAAAACCCGTCTGTGGCCTCGCCCGTAGGACGTCCTGTTGGGAGCGCGAGGCCATAAGGGTCAAGACGGTGAGCCGGAATGGAGCCCAGTAAACAACCTTCCTGCCGGATCATCCGAACTGGCGGGAAAGGCGTAGGACGTAAAAAAGGGTCCTTTCATGTCAGCCTCGTCCTGGGTTACGCCGGACAACCCCTGGGGCGCCATCGGACGGGAGCGGTGTGATCGCCGATGCGAAAACGAGGTGGGATGGGGTGAGCATTCACTCAGCCCCCCACCCCCCCACCCCACCGACACTACGCTCCCCAGGAGGGAAAAAAGCAGCGGGGGCTGCAGCTGAGCACGCCTGTCCCGGAGGAACCATCCGATTCGCTCTGAGGGTCGGCGATAAGGGGAAAAAATACAAGATGGCGTTGTCCAGCGTGTAGTGACCTGTCACTGGGAAATATTCCTCGGCGCTTACCTTGGAATAAGACTGCTCGTCATCTTCTCCTCAGGGAGGAGAACTCACCGGACGACCGGAGGTCGACTGCCGGGCCAAGCATCCTTAACAAAGGTTGGTCATCTACACAATTTTCCTTCTTTGTTCTTCTGACAGTGCTATATTAGCTCGCTGAAGAAAAAATGGGAGCCGATTTCCCGCTCTTAACGTAATTTATACGGACCGGGTGGGGCCCACACAGCAGGTGGGCGTGGACTAAATTTTTCAGTGCTTATGCTGCGCATAACGGGATAAACCCATCAGCGACAGCCTTAAAGGGCGAAGCTTATACGACATAGAACTGTTTTTCAATTGTAAAACAAACAAACAATTAAAAAAACTTAAATTTGTATGAATCATTTGTGAATGTGTTGTTGTTGTTGTTGTCAGTGTCTTCATGGACGATGTGTGTGAGGGTGGACATGTTTGGAGGTTGCTGTGTTGAAGCTCCATGGATCAGCCTCTCTGCAGCTCTCAGCACCTTCACTGAGCTGCTCTTGTTCTTCACAGGTAGAAGGTGGGAGCTCTCGTCAAATCATGATCTCCAGCATCATCTTGTTCATGCCAGGCTTTTCATCCACTGACCACACACACCTGTGTAGTGGACTAGGCCTATGTCAAAACTGACCAGATGGACAGAAACTGTCATTTCATTGATTTGAATCCAGAAATACAGTTTAGACCCATCCTGAGACTTTCTTTCTTGAATTAATCAAGTGGAAAAGACAATTCTCTATTATCATTACTATTTTACAAATGTTTTGATAATCAAATTGTGTTAGTTCAAACAATGTTTACATGTTGAAGTGAACTACTCATTTTTATTTACTTAAACAGTAGTAATGATTTTTAATTCCTCATTCAAAGAAGAAATCAGGTTAATATGCATTTCTTGATTTTTCTGTCTTCAATGAGCAAATTTGTAAGTGTGTTAAAGTTCGAGCTTCGGTCAACTAAAAAGTTTACTGAAAAGAAATGTCATGTTTAACTTTTACAGCAAGATACTGAGTAGAGACGCCACTAAGACTGGTTTTCTCCAACAATCTTTCTGTCTGTTCTTAAACAATCCTTGACTTTTAATAACACCTTACATCACAAACCACACCTCTGCTTTGGTCCATCCACCAATCAAAAAGCTCTCAAATGAACCGGAAGTATAGCCCGTTTAAATGTGGCAACTTCCCAGTTCAACAGAAGAGTTTCAGAGTTAAGGGAGACCAAGAGTTTGAGAGTTCACAAAGAGTGAAAGAAAAGTTC